ATGTTATATTGTGTAATGATATAACATGTGCAAATTTGTTGCAATGATAAAATTTCAGTGTTTGAATTAGAATGTTGGGAAACTTGTATCTACCACTGAGAGCTTGAAAACTTTTTATATTTAAGGGTTTTTTTTTTTATGAGATCAGGGTCATGTTATATTGTGTAATGAAATGTGATAGTAGGTTTGGCACCTGTACCTCAGCGGGTAAGGCGCTAGCCACACTGGGGCTGGCATGTTTGAATCCAGCCCAGGACTGCTAAACAACAATGACAACTACAGCAAACAAATAGCTAGGTGTTGTGGTGAGCACCTGTAGTCCCAGCTATTTGGGAGGCTGAGGCAAGAGAATCGCTTGAGCCCAAGAGTTCGAGGGTGCTATGAGCTGTGACGCCATAGCACTCTACATAGGACAACCTAGTGAGACTCTGTCTCAAAAGAAAGAGAAATGTGATAGTATTTGGGAGAGCTGTGTAATGTACCAAACCAGTAGCTTCAAAATCACCACTGACTGAGATGCAAAGTATATTGGTGGGGTTCAATGTTACAGAGTATGAAAAGGTCAGTAATAGTCTCAGATTTCACAGTACAACTACCCTTCGAGAAACTCTATCACTGGTTGAGTTTTATGTAGTAGCAAAGACTATCCACAATCATCTGGTTAGACTATTAAAATATTACTTCCTTTTTCAATTACATACCTCTGAGAAACCAAGTTTTCTTCATATGCTTCAACCAAAATGGCATTTCCAGGCAAATTGGACATAGAAACAGACACAGAAGCCTGCTTATCTTTTATTAAGCCAGTCATTAAAAAGATACGCAAAAGTATAGAACAATGAAAGTTTTTACTATATGTTTTTTAAATATGGCTATTTGAATAATATATTTATATTAACATATTTTTTGATTTTTAATGAATTAATAAATGAATATTTTAAATGCACATCTTAATTTCTAATATGGCAGATATTGACTGATAGAACTCACAAAAATAAAAGCTCTTTGGACCCTCAGTGATTTTTCAAAATGTAAATGAATCCTGACTCAAAAATGTTGTATAACCTTTCACTGTTCTAATGATTATTTAGGAGGAACCCAAACCACTTGGCACTAATATGGCTAAAGAGCATATCACATAATAATTATTTTGTTGCACACAATATGAAAATAATAAAATAAGCTAAAACTGTATTATAAGGTAATTTTTCTATTATGAACTTTTACTTCTTGACAAATAAATACTTTAAAAATTCAGCAGATTTCTTATCTAGAGCAGGGGTCCTCAAACTTTTTAAACAGGGGGCCAGTTCACTGTCCCTCAGACTGTTGGAGGAGTGGACTGTGGGCCCCGGGATGAGTTGGCTGCTAAGCAGGACAGGCAGCAGCAGCAAAAACACCCAGCGGACCAGATAAATGTGGTTGGCAGGCCACATGTGGCCCACAGGCCGTAGTTTAAGGATGCCTGACTAGAGTATAAAACTAAGTTGCTTATTCTATTAGAACAAAATACTTTAAAACCATAATAACTTGTATAGTCACATAGCTATGGTTACGTATTTGATGTTGTAATTTGACAGTAAACTTCAGAAGCTGGAAAATAATTATAATAAACAGCAACGTCTAATTCAATTATTTGTCACTTTCTATTTTACATGGCAGTTTTAACATACTAGCAGTGAGTTACAGAAAATGAGTATGTGTGCAGTAAAACTTCATACATATACACACATATAAACATTAAAATGCTTTCGGCTTCCTTACTAACTTGCTGTCCTGCTTTGCTCTTTGCAGCTTTTACCCATGACCCAGGATGACTACAAACCCTCTGATGTTAGTATACCATTAGAATTATCATGTATTCTTATGTAAGTGATGTAAAAGTAACAGAAATGGAATTAGCTCTTTTGAGAATATTTTAGTGGTCTATCACTTTCCACAAGCTTTTCAATTCTTTTTATTTTTGCAGAAATTACATCTGGTTGATTATTGTTTAAACAGCAACTCATAGGATGAGATTGAGCATAATCATATATAAAGCATTTAAACTTTTAAGAAGCCTTTTTTGTGGGGTGCTTTTAAAAGCATTCTGTTCTGTAGATACACCTGTTACTTAATTTAAATAGTAAGTCTTACATGTATATTGTCTCAAAAGTTCTAAAGGCAAGGAGAAAGAAAAGGGTAAAACAAGCAATTGCACTTAGCGGTGCAATGAGGGAATTGCAACCTTGCCGAGACCTCAGAGGGTGCTGTCTTTGGTGAGAACTGAAGGACATTTGCATTCATCCTGTGCAGAACCACATGGGGTGTGGGACAGGGCAGGGATGGGTTGGGGCCCAGGAAACATCTGGAGTCTCATATAGGTGGAGGGATCGCTAAGGGGTAGACAGTGGCACATGCTGAAGCCCAGAGATCGGAACAAATCCTGAAGGCTTCAGCCAGCTATTAGCAGCATTCGCTCTTTACCATGTTTGAGAGCAGATTTGATGACATTTTACGGTGAGCACTCTGTGGAGGCTGGATTTGGAGAAGGAATATACATGATACATCTTGCTAAAATATTAGGATAGTTGACTAAATTGTTCAGCTTCCACTCAGCTCCTTGTTGTTAGGTTAAGGGCAGAGGAAGGGGGGATATTCATATTGAAAACTCAAAGCTGCTATGACAGGTGTCATTTTCCCTGCACTCTTCCAGGGTCTGCTTGTGACTGTGAATGGCAACCCCGTGGACTACCACACCATCCACCCCAGCCTGCCCGTGGAGAACGGCCCTGGCAAGGCTGACCTGTACTCAACCCCGCAGTACCGGTGGGAGCCCTCCGAAGCATCCTCAGGTATGGAGCCAGGCCTGGAAAGGTGCATATTAGAAATAGAACCCTGCGTTCTAATATATCTATTTCACTCTCTTTTGTAAACTTGGCCCCTCTCTCTTTCGTTTGTTGTTTATTGGATTTGCTTCCTTTTTATAAAACAGAGATATTGTCTTCCATTATCAATATAATTAAGCTCATTTCTTTAAATTCTGGTTATATTTTGTCCTAGCATATTGCTATTTGTATTCTAAATTTATATACCAAATAAATGGCATAACTGGGGCAAACTTTGATAAAAAAGATAAAAACCATTTAAAAAATGTAAACTCATATATAGCATTAAACCTGCATGTATGTGTATACATGTTATTCTTTTAGTTCATGTTGTAATTAGGATCAGTAGTTTTTCTGACTGATGCATAAGTGTTTTTTTAAAGAGTCCTTTTTGTTAATTAAAAAAAGGAGACTCCAAAACTTGTGCAGGGCTTTTTGTGCCTTTACTCTCAGCTGGAGAAATACAAACTGTTCCTAGAGATGACAAATTGGTGGCCTGAGTCTAAGATTTCACACTCAAATTTTTTTTGGTCACCAAATTTTTTTTTATTTAAATAGCAACCAAACATTTTAAAAGCTGTAGCCCTTACCTAGAAATAGACCTTTCTGGACTCCTTTAAAGAATGTGAACATCTGACAACACTAGTCCCTGCCTCTTCCAGGTTGGCTCAACTTCTGTAGCCATGGCCCCTGCTAGGGACCAATTGCCAAATGCCAGTCCATAAAGACAGAATTACCTAAATTTAGTATTGAGGGGGAAAAAAAATCAACACAATATATGATGCATGTAAGTAGCAGCTAAGCTATAATCGAATTATAATTAATTTGTATATTTATTTGTATGTAATTAACACTAAAGTTCATAGACATTATTCTGCCTTCAGTGGATGGCCACCAGCTATCCAGTTTGTATCAGTGGAACATTATGCTTACTCTAGGGAACTTTCAGTATAATTCTTTATTAGATTTATTCCAATGTTCTCTTCTTCATAGATCTTTATCAGTCTTTCCTTCAATTGCCCTTGACAGTGCATCTACTTAAATTTAGAGCTGCTTAGTCACGTTATTCCACATTCCTTAGTATGGTTAAATCAAGTTAAATCATCCCCTTACTGCACCATACACAGGCCCCACCCAGATGACACCTGTGAGCTCCACAGCATCAGATCTGCTGGTTTGTACTATAGCAGCCCATATAGTTTATGGCTAGGAGGAGTGAGAGTTATAAGAAACACCTGTAGCTCAATAATGTAACACCTTGGTGAAAAGGGCATGGAGAGGGATTTAGCTCTTGTGACAAGCATGAAAGAGCTTACAAGATAAAAGCATTGGTGAATTGGCAGTCTCTACATTTGTGGTGTTAAGAGGCACAAGATCAGCCTTATATTAGTCTGGAGGAAAAGGCAGTTGGGAGCGTGTGCATTCTATCACGGAGCCGCTTACTCTGACTGTGTCACTTCTGCTGCCTGCAGAATGCCAGCACAGTGTCTCTCTGCTGAAGATCACTAAGCTCTGCTAAAGACTAAGATCTATCTTTCTAAGAAGACTGCTTTACTCTCTCAAAGACTATCTCTCTCTCTCTCTCTTTCTCCTTTCTGCTAAGGTAAATAGCCCTCAGGCATCTAAGAACAATTGTTCCTGAGCAAGATAACAGCATAGGGGTCCACATCCGGAACCTAGTGAAGCCAGGGCCAGAGACCAACCAGTCCCAGGCCCTGATAAGTGGCGTCCACAAAGGGACCCCGACATTGTACCTATTTCTGCTTCCTACATGTATGTGTTTTAGTTTGCAACTCGGGGTTAAACTGAAAAGCTTAAGGAAATTCATTGCATTTCAAAATATGGTCTTTAGAGCATTGGCACCAGAATCAGAAAGGGCCATTCAGGTCACAGTCTAGACCTCTTTCTATTGACACATTATTCATCTGGGAATAAATAAATAGAATTTTGACTGCTTACAAGGACAACCCTCAAATACTCAAATCATAAATCGAACTTTCAAAAGTAAAACAAAAGCTGGGAAGTATTTTTTTTAAGTTGAATTTATGCACACAAAAAATGTTACAGCCAAACAGGTAAGTATGCAAGTAACCCTAAAATTCATCAGAATCAGTGTTTTGATCTGCAGGCTCTCCCTTATAAATCCTTAGGTTACCCAATCTTACTGTAGGAGGAATGAAAGCCAGTAGGGTTTAACTGAGGAAATGCCACAGCCTCATTTTAGAGCCCATGTGAGGTAGTCATTGATTTTTCTGTAGTTTATCCTTCCTCTTCATAGTGCTACTAGGGAGCTCCCTGCTCTAAACAACTTATATAAAGCCCATTTAACTTAAACAAGAAAGGACGCTTTACTTAGCAGCTTAAAGTTTCTCTGTGTCAGGAGTCTGGGTGTAACTAGATTGGTGCCACTTAGGAGGTTTCAGACAAGCTGCTGACTGGAGCTGCTGTCTCATTGGGTGGCTTGACTGGAGGAGAATCTATTTCCAAACCCACAAATGTAGCTGTTGGCTGACTGCTAGCCAGCAGAGACATCAATTCTTAACACCTGGGCATTACTATAGGGCAGTTTACAACAAGGCAGCTGGCTTCTCTCAGGACAAGTGAGTAAGAGAATGGGAGAAGGTTCCCAATGTGAAAGCCAATCTTTTTAAACTGAATCTTGGAAGTGACACTCCCATCTCTGTTGAAGTGTTTGATTTGTTTGAAGCCTGTTCCAGGTCCTACCCATACTCAGGGAGAAGGGCTCACACAAAGGTGTGAACACCAGGAGGTGGGGGCCTTCTACACCCTCTCAGATGGAAATTTTTCTTCATGATTTCTGGGTACATGGTCCCATACTGACCAAGCACAACTTGCTGATTCTGTTTGAATTCTAAAGGCTTTATCAATTGGAAATAATTTCTGAAGTCTTTAATAAAAGATTATATCAAAATCATTCATGTACTTTACTGCTTGGAACATTGATAGAAATTTTGTGTTTGCATAAATAATTACATAAAATATTTTTCCATCTAGAAAAGAAAGAGGACAAGGAGGAAGAGAAAGAAGAATTTGAAGAAGAAAGAAGCCATGAGGAAAAAAGAAGTATCAAAGTTCATGCCATGGTCTCTGTGTTCCAATTCATTATGAAACAAAGTTACATCTGTGCTCTCATTGCTATGATGGTATGTATGAGTGCTGGTTGTGGGGTGCTGGGGAAAAGGTGTCTGCAGTCCCCATGGGCTCTAAGCTCCACCATCTTCTCAGGGCCAACATAAGTACAGTAATATTTCCAATGCCTTGCAGAGAATGGTCTGCTAAGTTAATTTTTCATAGATTTTATACTATAGATTGTAAAGTCATATCCTTTTTAACCTTGCTTATCCTCCCTTTAAAATATTAATGCATTTTTCTGAAACTAGTTTGTCAAATCAGACTATTCCCCACTTTTCCAACTTCAGAAGACATATTGGATAATTTTTCTAAAAGGTATTAAAGGTATTAGAGGTTAACAGAGGCTATTTTTATTTCTTTCAGATAGTGAGAATTACATTCATATCTTGCCTTAGACTTGGGTGAGACTCTATTCCATATTAGCTGTAATAACTTTTTACAAACAACCATGGTTCTCAAGAGCTTCCAGTTGCAAGATATCAGTTTATACATGTTTCTGTTCACCTCTAGACACATTCTCTATTTCTAACATCGTACCTTCAAAAATAGTCCTTTGGCCTATAGATAGAATATAACAGAATCTCTAATTTCTCCCTTTCCTAAAAACAAATATTCTTAAGCAATCTGATTTATTTTTTGAGAAATCTAACGCTCTTGTTTAATATGTACCTCTTCCAAATTCTGTGATCAATGGTGAAATACCATGGACACTTTTGAAGGTAAAAAATAAAAATATTCTATAACTGTAGGGGGAAAAATACCTAGACACAGTTTCCTCAGACACTTAGTCAAGATAATTCCCAGATGAACCTGTATGTAACTCAGCTTTGGTTTCTAGCTGAGGAATGTAGCCACATGAGAGGGAAGGCTAGAATAAAGCAAGCTCTTGGAAATCAAAGGTGCTCTTAGCTATTGCCAACTCTATTGTTTACATGAAATTAATACTTAGTCACTTTTTGACATTTTCTGTCTATCAACCTCCACTTTAAATTACATCAGTTCTCTGATTGCTAAATATCATGTTGTAAATGCAATTTACAATTCTGATTCTGAACTCAAAAATGTATATACTTATATTTTTCTCCCTAAGTCAGAAATGTTTGGTATTTTCTTTAAAGAAATAGAACTTTAAAACATTTTTTAATTCACATGTTGTTATTGAATAGAAAAAATCTATTATAGAAAAATATAGTCCTTCATTAAAGATGTGTTCCTCTTTGGTACCATTTTGTTAATGGAGTCACAGTATTAATGTTTTAAAAGTAGCTGCCTTCCATAGACGTTCTCAATTACAGACTTTTTAATCAGACACAGTAACAGCAGTCCTGAGGAATCAAAACTGTTAACATGAGATATGTATTTATTCAACATTATGATGTATGAATATACTATTAGACAACTCTGAAACTTAAGAAATAGCACAAGGCAGATTCTACTTCTCAGCTACCAAGGTGGTACATGTGACTTGGTATTTAAAAGAAGAGAATTTTTTATTTAAATTTGCATTACTAGATGTTCTCCTGCATCCCCCCAAATAAGAAAAATAAAGGGATTGGAGAGGGATAGTCTGCTGGAATTATATCTGTGAAAATTATTTTCCTGAATCCTTACTGAGATAAATATATTAAATACTATCCAACTTTTGATAAATTCTAAGAAATAATATTTTCATGAAAATAATTCAGACTTGATGCTAGTTGTCATTCACTTAATTTTGATAAAAGGAATTTAAATTTCTAGTTTATAATTATCACATACTTTAATCAACAATCCAAATTATCACTTTAAAAAGCTAATGCTGCTTTAGCATTTGAACTTTAAAGCTAACTCTTGATATTTATGATATTCAGGAATGTAGTTGATTTCAATTAACTCAAACATATCTAGATAATGTTTTTAAAGGTATTTTTTAAATGGTATCAGATTATAATAAAAGATAACAGGTTTCCTGAAGTTAATAATATTTGTGAACCTAATATACAGATTGTCCTGGTAGCTTCCATGTGAGATACATTCCTGAGTCTTTGAAATTTTAATGTGAATGAAAGAAAATCCATCATTTTTCAAAGGGTCTAAATGCCTTTTAGTCCTCACTATTACAGTATAGATGCTGAGGCTGGCCTTTATTAACTTAACTTTATTGTCTTGGATGTGTGGAAGACTAACATGCATCTTCTTGGTATAAATTTTCTAATTTCTTTCATGCATATCTTCTTGGGTCATCTACCAAGAGTGGTCCCAGTAGCCCAACCAGTGTAGGTAACTTAGTGATTCTCAGAGCTTCTATTTTTGAACCTTAGCAATGGCCCACACTCACTCATCATGTACAAGTAACTGCCAACTCCAAACTAGTTTGGGGAAACAAAATGAGAAAGTCGGCTGTTTTTAATACTGTAAAGTAGGGTAAAGATCAAGAGATTTGGTGCTCAAGCGAAATGGACTTAGACTGAATAGACAAATACATCTTTGCCTTTGACTTTATTCTCTACAAGTTAGAAGCAGTGTCATTCACAGCACAGTCAGTATTTCTGTTTTTTCCCTTTTCTTGTCCCACAGGTTGAGGTCTCTCATTACTGCATTACAACTCTCTCCTCTCCCTCATTCAAATAGTATTTATCTTTTCTTTTTGGATGACTTTTAACTTAACCAGTGTGAGGGAATGGTACATCATTTTGACCATTATTGTATTTTCTTTTCTCCCATGAGGCCTGGAGCATCACCTATCATAGCTGGTTGACATTTGTGTTGTTGATCTGGTCATGCACCCTCTGGATGATTCGCAACAGAAGAAAATATGCTATGATCAGCTCTCCTTTCATGGTGGTTTATGGAAATCTATTGTTGGTATTACAGTATATATGGAGTTTTGAGCTTCCTGAAATTAAAAAGGTCCCAGGATTTTTAGAAAAGAAAGAGCCAGAAGAACTTGCTTCAAAGGTGAGTGAATAGGAAAACAAGAAAATGAAATAATGGCACAAAACCACAATTATAATAACCATATCTAAGAGAACCCTAACAAAAAGAGACTCAAATAGTCATTGCTTTGCAAAAGTAAAAGATATATGTGATTGTAAATAATTCATAGTACTTAGAAGTTTCCATAATTTAAACATGAGAATTGTATTATACCATGATTTTAGCTTTTATTTAAAAATGATAATAGTTTCCACTGAAAGAAATTATTATAGGCTTGGTGCCTATGGCTCAAGCGGCTAAGGCGCCAGCCACATACACCTGAGCTGGCGGGTTCGAATCCAGCCTGGGCCCGCCAAACAACAATGACAGCTGCAACCAAAAAAAAGTCGGGCATTGTGGCAGGCACCTGAAGTTCCAGCTACTTGGGAGGCGGAGGCAGGAGACTCACTTGAGCCCAAGAGTTGGAGGTTGCTGTGAGCTGTGATGCCATGGCACTCTACCAAGGGCAACAACTTAAGGCTATGTCTCAAAAAAAAAAAAAAAAGAAAGAAAAATTATGATATAAATTATTTTTAATATAAATTGTACTCTAGTAGAAATTAGATGTGGAGATAAGAAAATACAATGTAATAGGTATCAAAGGTTTAGAGGACTTTCTTTGATTATCAGTTTATAAAACATGCTTAGCACATTGACGTTTTAGATAAGTATTGCTTATTAATGACATTTTTCTCCAATTAAGACATTTTTAGTAGCAAAAATTAACTATGATGCTTGCATTTTTTTCCTTCTATCTATTATGTGATATGCCTTCATCTGAGTTAGAAATTTCAAAATTTTTTCATTACTCATTTGTTTTTGTGGTCTATTTAATAGTTTTTATTTTAGGCAATTGGGTATTCCAACTTACTGTTTGTTTTATTAACAAAGTGGCAAACTAAACACACATTCCCTTTGTATTGGTGACTTTGTTAAGACAGTAAAAACAAATGTATACATACTGAATGAACTTTGAAAATTAATATGTCTGAAGGAGACATTTACATCACATGAAATTCACCTTTCCTGGGAGTAAACACCCCAAGTCTAGTGCAGTCAGGTGTAAATGGGATATTGGTCCTCATACCAGATTTTTGGTGAAGGGCTATTGGAGTAGAGGAAAAATTTTAACTGGTGAATGCCCATGACAGAGGTAAGACCATAATCCCTGTGTTATGGACCATGGAAAGTTTATTCATTCATTCATCGCAAACCTACCCACTCTTGCTTATTCTCCCAACCATACACCATGCCCAAAGTCTTTCTTGGTACTCCCACATACAAATCATCTTCATTTAATACTCCTTTCTTTTACTTCCCCTCCCTCTCTTTCCGCTTTAACACAGACACACATATGCAGACACTAACACTCATTCACAACTGGTGGTAGTTGTTGTTTTTTTATAAGAGAAATTTACTGTTTTGATTGTGTAAATACATTACAACCTGACTCAGAATAACAATGAGGCTTCTAAAAATGCATGCCAACTAACTAGTTGAATACTCTCTCATCTAAGACTAACAATTCTTTGGAAGGAACACATTATTTGGGAAATTAATTTGTTATTCATTAAAAAAAAGTGATTCTGGGCAATTGTCATCTGTACTTATATTTTAAAGCATCTAGAAGTCCAAAAACAAAAAAATTGCAAGATTTTGTCATAGACAATAACCACACAACTCCAGCTCATAAAATCTCTATAATAGTAAAAGTTATAAAAACACATCATTAAAACACACTGAGAGTACCAGATGAGTCAGTGTGTTATAAAATGAGAGAAAAGAAAATAGCCTCAGTACTCAAGGGTCTGAACACCATCCGTGGAACCAGTCTGAGTTTCTTTGCAGGATCCTTAAGTGTGTCTCATTCCAGACTCCATCAAGTCATGTCAGCTGCTGCCTTTTAATACCTGGCTTTTAACCCACCTTCCCTAGGAAAGAGATGCTATCTGCCCCCAATTACTCCTAACCTCTCTGAATTAAAAAAAAAAAAAATACAGTAGAGAAGTAGATTTCTTTCCCAATTTAAAGCTATAGTTTGATTCTTAGTGACTTCTAGTATTTTAATACCAGATTTTCAGAAATTTCTGGGCATGTTAACCAGGACTTATTAGCATTGGTTTATGTTAAAAGTAAATGATAAGTGGACATTTATCATTTGGTTTTAAGGTGGCAATTCAAAGTGAAAATAACCTGTTCATTTTCCAATCTTATTCTTGTTCTTTACCAAATATTTTTTGAAAATTCTACTATGAACCATAATGAGATGCCACTTTATAACAAAAAATGTTACTGAGGATGTGTGAAACTTGGAGTTGTCACATGTTACTGATGGGAATGTAAAATGATGCAGTAACTTAGAAAGTTGTGTATTTGATCCTCAAAATGGTAAACAGAATTATCATAAGACCAGCAGTTCCAGTCCTAGTTTTATAAATGCCTAAGAGGTTTGAAAACATGTGAACATGAAAACTTGCACATGAATGTTATAGTAGCATGATCCATTGTAGCCAAAGTATAGAAACAATCTAAATGCCCATCTGCTGATGAATGGATAAATAAAATGTTGGATGGCCATACAATGGGGTATTATATGGTAATAAAAATTAATAAGGCATTCTACATGTTCCAACATGGAGAAGCCTTTAAAACATGCTAAAGAATCTACTTTCAAATGAATGCATATTATATAATCCCATTTACATAAAATGCCCAAATTAGGCAAATTAATAGAGACAAAAAGTAAATTACTGGTTGACTAGGACTGAGTTGGGGAGAAAAGGAAGAACTTTTATGGGGCTTCTTTTTGGGATAATGGAAATGTTTTAAAATTGATTGGAGTAAAAATTGTACAACTCCATGAGTATGCTTGGAACTGCTGAGTTGTACACTTTAAGCAGGTGAATTATATGGTATACAAATTATATTTCAATAAATATATTACAAAAAAAAAACTATTATGTGGTAGGTACTGTATTCCCTACAGTGTGGAGCTCCCCAAAATTATAAGTTTTTTTCCTAGTCCTTGAGAAAATGCTAATATAAAAATGGTGAGCACTTAGAACTATTCTTTCTTCAGCTTTGAAGATTAATGGAAATAGTAACAGATTCTATTTTTTGTCATGAAAATTTTTTTCTCATCTGTGGAGTTCTCCAAAATAAGGAATTTTACAGAGTCAATGTGAATATTATACAAGGGGTGTATCTTTCTCTTACCACTGTAATGACATTATAGTCAGGTGGAAATCAACCAAGGACAAACATCTTGAAGGAGGCCCCTTGCTGGTGTTGACATCCTGGGAAGTAATTTGAACAGTCTATTGCCTTCCTTGGGGTCTTGCACAATGCTGACTGTGCTCCTGGCTCCCACACAACATGTGTCCTTGGGAGGGAGATTTAAAAGTAGTGAATTTCAGAAGGTGGCTAAAGAGAAACAGCTCCAGCATACTTCATCCACTTATCAAGACCAAAATAGTATGCAGGGAATCACATGGTGAACATTTATCCAAGACGGAATATGAGATTTCAATAGAAAAGCAGAAGGAAACCCCGGAACCTGGGCAGGAGAAAGAGGTCAGGCAGCGAGCATGACTAGGACCAGCTGAGAACAGGGAATGAATTCCTGATACTACAGAAAGTGTCTCTTTATGGCCCTTTTTCCCACTGGGAATCATGCACTCCAGGCCACTGGACCCTCCCAAGCCCTGGTGCTGACTTAGGGAGTGGCCATGAGACTGTAAGAAACTGCTCTGTCCTACACACTCAGACCTATGCATCTGTGGAAGGATGCTGTACTTTAACCTTGAGCTTATAGCACACTTCACAGGGTCCTGGGAGCCAGCAGTGGTAGAAGCTGTTGGCAATAGAAAGACTCAGGCTGGGGCTTAGAGAGGTAAGGCTTGAGTGGCAGAGGGGTTTCTGGAGCTAGAGAAACAAGTGCAGTTGTTGGTGCTGAAACCTACATCCCTTTGCCCCCACCTCCCACTGGGCCTAAAACCAGAGGAGAGTTGCCAGGGGTGCATAGTATTGACCCAGACAGTGTCCATCCCATGTTCAGGTATTGCATTGTGAACTGGAAACTGCAGTGAATAACTGAGTATCAAAAGTGGCTGCCACAGTCAGGATGTGGGATTGAGCCTCACCAGAACTGGGATGTGAGAGAGACACAGGTCCCACTCCATTTGCTAGGCTGTGGCACCACAACCACCCCACCCTCTCTGTGGTGAGATCTTGGCACAGCAGCAGTTGCTCCTTACCTAGACACTTCCCCAGGGGCTTGAGGACTGCTCCAACAACCCATCAGTACTAGTGCTTGTGCCTGCCCTTGGGGGTATGAATTCAGGCTTGTCTGGCCAAGTTCCACCCAGCTTCACCCTCATCTCTACTGAGACAGAACACTAGACTCAGGCCCCTAGGTGTTCCATGGCTCCACCCACCACCTGGGACCCTAAAGCCCTGCTGCCAGTTAACAGAGGTTGGGAATAAACCCCTCTGCTACCACTGCACTGGCTCTTACCTGGAAGTGTTACTTACTCACTTGGGGGTCAATGACATGCACAGCCCATACAACATCTACTGACACAAGTGCACAGTACTCAGGAACAAGAAGAGCTTCTCACAAACTCTGCTACCACCATCACCTGTGCCAACCTGGCTACTGAGCTGATCATGAGCTCCTCATCCACTTGGTACACAAGCACTACAAATGGCATTTGAGAGAGCCACCATACCAGGCTATTTATAACACAAGAATCAGTCTTTGCCACCAAACACACCCAGAAGAGAAGCCAAGTGGCCCTTCTTGTATGCATCAGAGTCACATCTTTAAGAAAACAGATCTCTTCCATTGAAAATAAGAAAGAAACTAACCTTTCTCAAAAATGAGAAAGAAGCTACTGTTTCTCCAGATGTGCAGAAGTCAGTGTAAAGATACAGAAAGCATGAAAAAGCAAAGTATGATGACACCTGAAACACAATAATTC